AAAACAGTATCAGAATTCAAAGTGACCCAATTAAATTGGAGAAGCAGCCATAAGCAAACAGAACAGACCTGGGGGAAAAGACAAATGAAATACAACGTGAAAGTGTTAGTTGTTCAGTCATGTCTGATTCTTTGTGACCCCATGGACTGTAGCCCTCCAGACTTCTCTGTCCATGGGATTCTCCAGGCAAGAATACTGAAGTGGGTTGCCATTTGCTTCTCCAGGGGATCTTCCCAACCCAGGGATTGAACCTAGGTCTCGCCTCATTGCGGGCAGATTCTTTACCACAGAGCCACCAGGGAAGCCCATAAAATAGGCATCACTTTCTAGGAAAATTGCCCTGTTTGGCACGCCAACAGGAAACATGGCCTCTTGAGATTACAACAGCTATGAGTGTCCATGAAAAGGTATGAACTTCTTACACAACGTGAATCAAATGAAGCATAATTGTTGAGTTATTCAGATATCTCCCTCAAAATTTCAAACTAGCAAACTCATAGAGCTTATCCATAACCTTATAGCCTTTGCAAAACATTGATCACCAAACTGCACATCCTGCTCTGTAGTTCCTGTAACTGAGCCCATTCTTATAACTCTTCGGTTTCAGGACTAAAGTCAGTTTCAGTGACACTAATTATATTAGTTTTAAATGGTGCATGAGGTAGAAAAATGAGTGATAGTATAAAAGCCAACTTAATTTAAATAGTGATTCTTTTTCTATCAGGAAGAAAGTTCCTTAACACCAGTGATAAAGAGAAAGCTGATTTTAGTTTTAAGTTTAAATATTTTTTAAGTGTTTATCTGGTTTTAGATTCAACAGCAGTTGGATCTCCAATAATGTCACTCATTAGGACTGTAGATTAGTAGCTGATTCTTCCTTGCCCTCAGACTTGAAACAGCCTACCAAACTCTTGCGGTAGAGATGGATAGTGTACCATTTCAGCAACACTACCATAATACAGCCGTATGCCAATCCATTGCTGCTATTGTTGCTGACCTTTTCTAATTTAGCAGGAATTCATGATAAATAAGAAAACTTTAAAATTCAGTCTTCCTACATTAGTAGATTTCACTGATAAAAGCGCTTTAAATTGAAAATACTTTTAAAGATTAGGAAACCCCTAAGAAAAGCAGAACAGGAACTTTATGCTAAGAAAGCTAGAACCAGATGGATTATCTGTGCAAAGTTTGATAGTTTCATTAGAATCCCATTGTGGAACTCCACTTTTTGTTCTCTTATTATTAGCTTTTTTGAAAACCAAATTGTAAACAGAAACCAAAATTTGAGTCACCTGCTTCTTGCCTATGCTTGATTCTTCCCAACTTAATAGTTTGCTTGTTCTGTAGGTCATCTATTTTTAATTATATTCTTGTATTATGTATTAGTTTTTAAGCTCAGGTGAATTGACATATTAGTTTTCAGTGTATGACATAATTAACTTCTTGTATATATTATGAAATGGTCCCCACGATGAATCTAGTTCACATTCATTACCATACATAATTAGTTTTCTTCTGATGATAACTTTTAAGCAGATCATCTTTTACATCGGCATAGGAAAAAAAGGGATATTTTCTTTTATAAGCTATGTGAAGTAAGGAAAAAAGTGACAAGCCATCTTCCCAGCCTACTGTTTGTTTTCCTATTACTTTCAATAATGTGTAGGAATGAAGGGAAATATATAGAAATGCACATGTAAGTCCCAGAGATAAAGATCTTACCCTTATTTGATCTATGAGAAAATATAAAGAGTTTGAATAATTTCATACTTTTAAGTTTTATTCTAGTTCATTTTAAGTTCTTACACCTTTCACTTTTTATTTAAATTTTCATTTATAGTAACTATAGAAAACAATTACTTGTATTAGAAGACTAACTTTTTTTATTTGAGAAAAGGCTGTGATAATAAGTATTACATAGATACAATTTATAGGTAGTTTGCTTTTTAAAAATGTTGGGCAAATCAAATCCTGTCTCATTTTATCTTAAATTTGTGTAACATCAGCAGTATCCATGTTGAAGATGAACAGTATTCAGTTTCTTATCTGAAAGACCACTATAGCCAACTCATTTTAGCTTTCCTTACTAATATACCATGTATTTAATTCATCAATGTAAAATAATATCCTGATGTACCCATTTTATAATAAGCTGAAAATCTGTCATCTCAGCATGTAAAGACATTTAAATGTATATGAAATACAATTTTAACAAATATTCATCAAGCATATAGTAAGTGAAAATTTGTGTGCTAGTTCTTTGCAGAATGTGTAGGATGTAAACATATGGCTTATTTTCTGATACAACTGAAACCTTTCAGCTCTACAGATCAGACAAGCTTTGTCTGGCCATGAAATTCTCCAAGCCAGAATACTGGAGTGGGCAGCCCTTCTCAGGGTATCTTCCCAACTCAGAGATCGAACCCAGGTCTCCCACATTGCAGGTGGATTCTTTACTGTCTGAGTCACCAGGAAAACCCAAGACAAGCTTTATTGTCCTTTAAATCAAGAGTTCACTTTCCCAATTTTGAGGTTAAAATATTTATTTGACTGGCAATTTACCATATAACAGTATGATTTAAAAAAAAAAATTAAAACTGCCATGGCGGAGTTTTCCCTTTTCACTTTTTTAACATTTCTATGAGCAACTGAATGTTCCTATTTTATGCATTCAGTATAGATTACTTTTTATTTTGAGACAGTCGTAGATTCACTTGCAGTTGTAATGAAATACTACAGAGATCATATACCTTTTTCCCAGTTTCCCTCAATAATATCTTATAAAAGTATACTACAGAGTCACAGCCAGCATATTGACATTGAAATGTCCCACCAGTTTTGCTCAGATTTCTTCAGTTCTACTTGTATTTAATTGTATTTGTGTGTGTGTGTGTGTATGTGTGTTTTAGTTCCCTATAATTCTTACAAGAATGAGTGAGTGAGTGAGTGAAAGTTGTTCAGTTGTGTCCAACTCTTTGCAACCCCACGAGTAGGTTTATCCACCACCATAGTCAAGATACAGGGTCATTCCATCAAGGATGCCTCATGTGGCCCGTTTATGACCATGCCCACCTCCTTCCCATTTGCATTTTTCAACCCTAGAAGCCACTAATCTGTTCTGCGTTTCTATAATTTTGTCATTTCTAGATTATTATATACATATTTATGGGATCATTCAGTGTAAATCTTTGGAATTTTCTCTTTTATGCAGTATAAGAGCAATTCATCTAGCAATTCATCCAGGTCATCATGTGTATTGATAGCTGTTCAGTTTTATTTCTAAGTAGTATTCCATAGCATGGATGTGCCACAGATTGTTTAACCACTCACCAGATGAAGGACATCTAGACGCTTTCCCATTGTGGACTATTACAAATAAACCTGCCATGAATCTGTAGGTTTTTGTGCCAGCATGAATTTCCAATTCTCTGGGATAAATGTCCAAGAGTACAGTAACTGGGTGTTATGGTAATTGTACATTTAGTCTTTTTTTTTCATTATTTATTTTAATTGGAGGCTTATTACTTTACAATATTGTACATTTAGTTGTATAAGAAAGTCCAAACTACTTTTCAGAATAGCTGAACTGCTGTATGCTTCCATCAGCAAAGTATGAGTGATCCCACTTCTCTTTATCCATGCCAACATTTGATGTCATCCCCACTTTTAAGTGTATAGTGATATCTCATTATGGTTTTAACCTGTTATTTTCCTAAAGCATTCTTTCTCCTTTTCTCATTATGAACTTGTTTGCCACCTGTATACACTTTGCCATGACATGTCTGTTTATATCTTTGGTCCATTTTCTAATTGAATTATTTTTGGTTTTGTTTGTTGTTGATTGTTTTTTACTGTTGACTTTTTGGAGTTCTCCAAAGTCCCAGATATCCCAGATACTAGTCCTTTTTCGGACTGCCAACATTTGTAAATTTGCTTGCAAATATTTTCTCCTGTTCTATATGTTATATTTCCATTTTCTAATATATATATATATTTAAATTAATATACAATGTTTTCTACCTACCCTTATGCAGTTTGAATTTTTCTTTTTTCAGTTATTTTTCCTTTATCATCTAACATAAATACATATAGATCTATGATTTTTGTAGATGGCCTAATTCTGTTTAATAAAACTGTCTTCTAAAGCTTTTGCCTTTTGGGTTAAATTGCTATGAAAGGTGGGAGGTTGTAATGCATGCTGACAGTTTGTTAGAGACTTAGTACTTCTATTCATAAAGAAATGAAAAAGTTTAACTTTCTTACTTTGCTATGCCAAAACCCACCAGCTGGAAAATGGAAAATGTAATTATATGTATTGGTTGATACCATGAACTTAATAGTTCATTTAAAATATTTTAGAATAATATCCTTATGATCATTTTATCAGATTTGAAAGTTCACCTAATGCTTACTATGGTGAACTAGCAAGTATGATTGCATTTTATTTTATTTCAATTTGAATAAGTCTTCTTCATAGAATTGTAAGTAATGTCAGAATCTTCTGTTGTGTCCACAACTGCTCTCCAAATGAGTGTTTTATCATAAATGTTGTGTTTTATTATTTTCATTGAAAACAACCCAGTGGTTTCTGTGATTGAATGAATGTTTTAATTTTAGCTTTTCTTTCTGTGTTTTAAACTTTCTTTCAGCTTTTGTGTTTTGTGTTTTGTTTATATGGAAGATTATATTTTGCTTTTTTAAAAAATCTTTCATTTTTAGCAAGCATGGGAATATATTCTTGCTTACACTCTGGGAAAGAGAACACCCTAAATGTGGCTTAACATGATAAATCATCTTTCTTTCCCATTGACTCAGATATGTGCATTGTTGGAAACGTGTGTGCTTTAGTGGCATATATTTTTGAGTCTGACTAGCTGCCTGCCTGTAATCAGGACTATATCAATTGTTATCATTCTAAATGTTTCCTTTCTTTTTTTCAAACACATTTGCCTGATTGACCTTTTTTTTTTTTTTCTCTGTCTTTTTTGGGGCTGCTCCAGGAGCCATGGCTAATCATCTTATAAGCAATGCTCTGCTTCGTCCGCATGGTACTAACAATCCCTATAATACATTGCTGGGGGAACCGGCGGTCTGTAACAACCCTTCTGTCAGCATGTACAACGCACAAGGTGTGCTGGAGTTCATCTTAATTTTTTCAAGTGAAAGTCCCATTTTAAGTAGCTTTTATGGCCACATTCTATTTTTCTTTCCTTCCTCCTGCCTTTTCTTTCTTTTGGAAGCAGACACACAGACTCTTTTCACCTTTCACCCTTCTTGGTGCTTTTATTTTCCATTTTCCTTAGGTTTTCCTTAGTAAGAAATGGATTTTTCCCTTCTGATAAACAAATGCTTGATTCACCAATATGTGTTTGTTCTCTGTAATGTTATAAAATGTTTTGTGGTTTGTCAGTACTTTTCTTGTTGTTGATTGATTTCTATACTAAATACCTATGTATTCATTTTGAGAAATGAGCTATTTGCCTAAGGTAAGTAAGATAAAGAAGACTTGATTCAGTAATCTTAATGCTATAAGATCAAGAAAGTAATCTTACTCTCTTCTATCATGAAGCATACTCTAGGCACAAATATCAGTACTAATGAAAGCACTTAGATCAACTACATGGAAAACCCTGAAATAAGCTGTGGAGGAAAGAACAGAGAATTGAGCAGTAACAGATCAAGTTCTGCCCTATCTTAATATTGCCTGTATGCACCGACTCAGGAAGGTCATGAAATGCTTTCTCTACTGTGGCTGTGTGTTAACAACAAGGGTTTTGGATATGGCTCCTCTGTATATCCTCCAACTTTAAATTGTATCTCAGATAAGCATAAGTCTCTTTAAAAGCACTTACAATCTAAGCCTTTGTATATGACACTACTTTTTTTTAAGATAAAAATATATTGGGGGCACAAGAAATTAAAAATATTCATATCATAAGTAAAGCGACCACAGGGGAAAAAAAATCACTCAAGTAAAAGTTTTGTAAAATAAAAATTGTAATCAGTGATCCACCTATTTAAAATTATATTTGAAAATAACTCACTGTAACAAAGAGACTTCAATAGCTCCTTCAAGCTGGACGTGATAGATTAGATATATTTTAACTTCCTAAGCAATCTTGAGTAAAATGTCTGTTCTCCTTTTTTGGGAATCCGTGTGTGTGTCCTCAGTCAGAGGTAAAAACTTACTGGCATGAATGTGAAAACTTGGTGTGAATGTTTATTCCAAAAACAGCATGTTTGTTGCATCATGGTCTATGGGTATCTCTCTAAAATCATCTGAGTTTCCTAGGTGACACCTTGTTAGATACAAAGGATGATTTTAAATGATTTCAAAAATTTCAAAGCCAATAATTCATAAGTGACTTCAGGAATATAGTCAAGTTGTTTGTCAGTAGGAAAAATAATTAAGCAAACTGTTAATTTTATCCTGTTTCTTGAGATTTACACCTGAGAATCATAGACCTAGAATTAAAAGGGAGAACACATTGAATCCTCTTTGCTATACTGTGGACATTCTGTCAGCCTGTGCTTAAATATTTCCTCCAATGATGCCCTTCCTAGCTCAGGAACTTAAATATTCAATTGTTGAAATATTCCATTTGTTATAAATATTTTTCTTTCCACCAAGCCGAAATTTGCCTCTGGCCATGATGCTTAGCTTTGCCTTCTAGAACAAAGATGAGCAAAGCATTTTTCTGCTGTCTGTGGCATCCCTTAAATTCTTAAATGTAGTTAATCTGGAGTCTTTTAGTCACCTTTTTATTCTAGTAAAGCAGCCTTAGTGCTATCAATAGAAGAAAGTTTCTTCATGGTTATCCCCCTTTATATTGTTTACTGTTTGCCAATATCCTTATTTTGTTGTAGCACTCAGTTATGTGTATATTACACAATGCACCAAATGTGGCTTGGCAGAACAATTCTGCAGACTTTATGAAGTCTTGTCTGGGGCTTTTCTTTATTTTCATTAGTCTAAATGACAGATAACTGTGCCACTAAAAGCATTTTAAAGTGTGCTAACATTATTAAGTTTTGAATGATATTAAATGAAGATTTATACCATATTTGCAAATTATATCTATTCTACATTATTCACCTTACATGAAGAATTGTTGGAAATTGGTTTAAAATAAGTAATAAATTTAGATCACATTTTGTTTAGCTTTTTTGACTATTCAGATATAATTTCTAGTGTCATACATAATGAAAAAGTAACAATCATTAATCTATGTTTTCCCTAATTCAGTATTTGCCTTCTTGTCTTACTTTATTATTGGCATTCTAAATTGGGAGATTTTTCTAAGGATGGAACACTATTATATAAACACTTTCCAAGTGAATTTTTAATGACAAAATTTAAAATAATACCATATAAATCCAAAGTTTTATTCCTTTCAAGCCTATTACTGAATATTGCTATTAAGATTATCAATAAATGCACAAAGCTTACTTCTGAATGGATTTGTTGTTTATGCCAGTAAATTACATTCGGCTGACTTTTCTTAAAAACAAAAGTAAATAATTTTATTATTGGTTTTCAGAATCAGAAATGGGATTGTTCAACTACTTTATCTTTTAGTATTTTTTAAGATGTTAAGAAACTATGGTAGTGCTTAAAATGATGTTTTATCACTGACCAAAAATAAAACTTGGTGACTATCATATTGCTACTAATCTTATGCTTTCAGATGAATGCACTTATATTCTTACTGGCAAGGTGAAATCTTACATGAAATATAGGTGGCTCGGTATGTACTGGAGTGGTTTATGTTGAATTACAACTTGGTTCTGTTCTGTTGGTCCTTTAATTCTGTTATACCAATGCCATCCAAGCAAAGAAGCATTTGGATTTAAAATATCCATTTTTGTTTTTGATGCCTTTATTTAAAATATGCAAAGATATGTTATGGTGTTCCTGATGCATATAGTGTTAGGAACAAAAATGAATAATGTACTTTTGTTAGATTGGATTCAGATTCTTTTTGTGGAAGTGTTTAAAACTTCATGCATAGTATTTCTGGACCATTATCTTCCTATCAGTATTGGATAGTTCAGTTTTTCTTAGATAAATCTTATAGATTAACCTGTCAACAAAATGTAATATATTGAGAAGTCATGCTTTTACAAATTAATTTACATTTTAAGGTATTTTAATTCAATTCTAAAACTCTAAAGAAAGACATATCTTTAGGATGGGATACGTGAAGAATACATTATAGTTGTCAAGAATACAAGGTTATAGTGTAAAGTATATAATTAAATATTCTGTTATGGCTTTCGAAGTCTGAGGCGGGATGTGAAGAGAAGGAGGTAGAGAGTACTGCATGAAGTCAATCAAGATTCCCCTTCTGATCCTAGCTCCGCCACTGTCGGCAGAGCGGTGTTAGATAAGGTTCAGTCTCTCTTGACAGCAGCTTTCTCATCTTGCAAAGCAGGAGCTGAACGTCAGTAACCTCTCCTGTGCTCTCCACTTCTAAAATGTTATCATTTACAGAAGGGGCCATAATGAGCCTACAAGCATTTTACATCTGTTGCTATACTAATTTGGCTTTTTATTTCAAATTCTTCTCTAAAAGAAATTTTCTCTGCATTTTGAAATATTGTTGGTCTTTTGCTGAGAAGCAAACTTTAAAACAACTTTTAAAGTACAAAAACAGTACCTCTAAAGCAGTGGTTAAATTGTAACAAGTCTGTATCTCTTGTAATTATCTAGCCCAGTGACTTCTGCTGGTTTTTATTTTGTGATGATTTAATCTTTTTTATAAAGAAAATCAGCAAGAGCAGTTTTTTGACTGGATTAAAATATGAGAATTTTTTAAAGCAATGTTTTTATGGTTGCTTTTAAAGTATTAACTTTTAAAATGTTTGATTGCATATGATTATGCAACAATCCAGAGGAAAACTTGATACTTATTGGTGGTATTTTTTCCCTCACATTTTCATGATACAGAAAAATGGTTGGATTTAACATTTTCCTTTCTCCATAGTAATACAACTTTTGAATATGAGCTCCAGAAATGACAGTATTGATCAGTATTATTTACAAATGATAAAAAGCATTTGTATAGGTACAGTGGGAAAAAAATAACCTTTGTACATGAGAAGATACATAAGTAAACAAACATAATTATAAAAACTTCAAAGTGTTTTTCTTTTCTCTCTGTACAAAATAAAGAATTTACTTATAATCTAACTGAAAAAAATTAAAGTGACATTCCTTAGAAGCAAGTATGTCCTAACACATACACACAAATATATGTGTAATATTGAATTAAAGTTGTGGAAAAAGTCATGGCTTGCCCTCAGGATTTTACTCTCTTTGGTTGATGTGATAATTTTAACCTTAAAATAAATGTGTATTTGTTTGAAATTTACAAACTGACGAAACGCTTATTAAAGACTCATTTTATTAGCATGTGTTATGGGGGTTTCTTATTTTCTAACATTTCAGTATTTTTAATTATGATAAGCCATGTAACACAGACTCATGAATTTTGGGGCAGTGGAATGATTTCCTTTGACTCTTTTTTCTGCATATCATCAATTTGCTTTTTACTCATGTTTCTTCTACTGTCGCTGTAAGCTTACTTGTTGTTTTTCTTTCCTTTTCTCCATGCTGTCGTTTAGAGCCCTACAGAGAGACAAGTATGGGAGTAAAGCTAAACATTGCATATCAAATGTAATTTTTTTTAGTTCACTTTTATTGCATCACATATAGATGATGTAGTTATTAAAAACAGTTCATCTCACAATTTAAAAATGAAAGAACCTATAAATCAACTTATATAAATATATGTTAACAGATTAGACGCTTTTGTTGTCTGATTCTTTTATTGTGTCACGTAACATAGTTGTTAAGTCTCATGTAATGTTTGTGTGAGTTAAATTGTTTTTAAATTAAGCATTTATTTTTTGCTAAGTAATTCATAAACTTTTAATTTCCATTACTACATTCCATCACACAAATACATGTCACATACAATGTATCCGCCTTTTTTTAGTATGGCTGTTTTCAACCGGTACCTAATGCATTGACAACAGAAATAATAAACACGTTTCAATGCATCAGTTGCTCAACCATAATCATCAAGCATACCATAGCAGCCTCTGCAGCAGCAATCACCCATCACATATGGCCCTTTAAAAACATTTACTTTTATTTTTTCTTAACATCGTGGATTTGTCTACAAGATATCTTACAACATGAAAATAAATCGCTTCACCCTATGTCTGTGATGGCTGCTTTTTTAATGTATTCAGAGCATTGTTATTTTTGAAAACTGTGTTACTTGAACATAGAGTATGTATCAGAAGTCCATACAAAAATTGATATATTTGGAACACTTTCTTTAAACCAGTAATGAACCAGCTCACTTTTGGTAAACATAACTGCATCACAGATATAGAATGAATGCTATATTTTCACAAGTTAATGATGTATTGAGAAGTTTAATGGAATTCTTAAAAAAAATTGTTCTATAAAGAAGTACCCTTATTTAGTAGTATTGGTTAAATGTTTGTGTTTTATTTTATTTTGTGGTTGCATTTGAAGTAATTTGTGGAACTATTATTGATTCTTGGATTTTTGTTCATTCAAGAAAATGCAAAAACCTTGAAGAAGCATATGGTCAGATTTATATCACTGCAGCTGTTTCTTCCCAGAATAAGATGTTTAATCTCTTTTAAACCCAAAGCTTAATATGCACACAAAGTCATCACTCATTATGAAATGGAACCTTAAATACTGACACTATGTTTATAGGAATTAGATCCCCATGTTTTATACATTCTTTTGTAGAATTATCTAATGACCCTAACAATTACTAATGGATATATAATAGTAACCAAAGTGCTTATAACAGAAAAGAAATTGGAAGGTAAACCAAAATATTTCTGTTTTGAAAGTTCCCATTTGCAAATTATTTTGATGTGCCATTTCTCTACCTAGGCATTATTTCATAACTATATCATTCCGACAAATTTAACAAAATCCTTTTGTGGTTTTTTGTATAAGGATATTCTCAGTTTTACAAAATTACATACCAAATTATTAGACAGTGCTTGAATCTTCTACTTTGATTAGTCTATTCAAAGTACCACACCATGAATTATGCTAATTCTATACCTATTTCAATGTTAAGACAACACATAAAATTAAAAGGTAATGAATTATTGAATTGACTTTGGTGTGTATAAATTGAAAGCTATGAACGACTACAGAAAATTTTGTTTTTCCTAAGTTATAACCAAATAGGTTTCAAATAGTGTCAGGCAATGTTTGTATGAAACTTTATAAGATTTTGTGCAAATTTATAGAGTTTTAAAATTCTTTTAGAGATTTACTGAAAATACTTATTTTCTGTTTATAAGATTTCTATCAATTGTCCAAGTATACATATATATATTTATATAGATGTGTACATATATATTTAACAGTGCTTTTTTATTTCCAAACATTTTATACTTAATTAAAATTGCTACCAATTTATACATACTCGATAGTCGGGTGTTTTGCTTCTGTGTCTGTGTGTGCTCTGTGGCCAATGGGACATGCATGTCATAATGTTTTGTGATCTTTTTCAGAGGGGCTCCTGAACAATGCCAGGGATACAAGTGTCATGGATACTCTACCACTGAATGGTAACCATGGCAACAGTTACAGCATTGCCAGTGGCGAATACCTGAGCAACTGTGTGCAAATCATAGACCGTGGCTATAACCACAACGAGACCGCCCTAGAGAAAAAGATTCTGAAGGAACTCACTTCCAACTACATCCCATCTTACCTGAATAACCATGAGCGCTCCAGCGAACAGAACAGGAATCTGATGAACAAGCTGGTGAACAACCTGGGCAGTGGGAGTGAAGATGATGCCATTGTCCTGGATGACGCCACCTCCTTTAACCATGAGGAGAGTCTGGGCCTGGAATTGATTCATGAGGAATCGGATGCTCCTTTGCTGCCCCCAAGAGTCTACTCCACGGAGAACCATCAGCTCCACCATTACACCCGGAGGCGGATCCCCCAAGATCACAGTGAGAGCTTTTTCCCTTTGTTAACCAATGAGCACACGGAAGATCTGCAGTCACCCCACAGGGACTCTCTCTACACCAGCATGCCAGCGCTGGCTGGCGTGCCCCCTGCAGACAGCGTTACCACCAGCACCCAGACCGAACCCCCGCCGGCCAAATGTGGTGATGCCGAAGACGTTTACTACAAAAGCATGCCAAACCTCGGCTCCAGAAACCACGTCCATCAGCTGCACACCTACTACCAGCTAGGTCGCGGCAGCAGTGATGGGTTCATAGTTCCTCCAAACAAAGATGGGACCCCTCCAGAGGGAAGTTCAAAAGGACCAGCTCATTTGGTCACTAGCCTATAGAAGATGACAGAAATTGAAGCCAACAAGACTGCTAACATCTGATAGACTGTGCTGAGTTGATATACGCAGTGGTAATAATGTGTGTACTTTTAAATCTTTATGCTGTTCTTGAACGACAAACACAAACTCTCAGACTCCTTTTTTTTTTTTTTTAACTGGGATTTTTAGGTCAGCCCAGGGGAGAAAGATAACTGCTGAAATTCCTCTGTGCCCTCTGCTTTCTTGTCCTTCACCCCCCACCCCAAGATGGAGACTTCATTATGTTAATGAACGAGATTTGAAGAAAATGGCACTCATGGTGGCCTTGTTGAATTATGTTGTGTTTGTTCTAACATCTCTGATGCTCTGTTACTCTCATTACAAGGACCTGATTTTTTCAAAGGCCAGAACAGTAGTTTGAAGTTAGTAACAATGCTGCATCTAGACTGGAGTGCTGCACAAACATAAAAAGCAAAGCAAACTGTATCACATAGTGGTTTTTAGTCACTCACAACCTGAATTCGCCACAGTGGGAATAGCTGTGGCATACAAAATCAAACAACAAAATCAATAATGAAATGGAGGCGAATTCTAGAATTATATGCTAAATGCATATTTTATGATTTGCTGTATTAACTGATGATAAACTAATGGCAGAAAAAAACTGAACAATTTCTATGTAATGTACAGATACTAGCATTGCACATGTAGTCTGCTTTCTGTTCCTCCAGAATTTGAGTCCTGTTAATGTAGTGGAAAAAAAAAAGAATTTTTTTTTTTCTTTTGTGCTGGTCTTGCAAGTTTGTCTACCAATAAGAGCAAAGTTTCCTTCCTTTCTTCTTTCTTTTCTTTCTTCATTTCTTTTTTTTTTCTTTTCTTTCTTTCGTTCCTTTTTTCTTTAAAAAATCACCTGGCAAAAAATAAATAAATAAATAAATAAATAAATAAATAAATGAAGCTATCACTTTATAAGAATCATTTTCTAGTAATGCAAACAAATTATTTTTTACAAAAAAATAAAATAAATAAAATTAGACTTCCTTCCCTCACTATATATCTTTATTCAGTCAGAATATTTCCAAGAGCATTTTTGCAAGTTAGAGCAGGAAAAACTTTATGTTTACAGTGCACATCTGTTGTAATGCAAAGCATATTTGGCAAGCAGTTCATCACTAAGACAGTAGCTATGATTCTAGAAGTCAAGAGATGTCAGTAGAACTAGTGGGGCTTCTGCATGTGAAAAACGGTATCCCATAGGTGTGAAAGTGCTGAATACTCAGTCTGATCCCAAAGTGGGCACCTGCACTACCAATTTTTAAAGGAAATTCACTCACTTGTAGAAAGAATCAAAAGGTCAAGTTATTTTGAAGTGATTTTAAAAAGAAAACTCTTCTGTTTATTAACAGGAAAATTATTTATTTGACAGGATTTTAAGTAATGTAGGACTATAAGAGGTAAATTAGCACATACAATTTTTTTTTTTAATTTATGATCCATTTTGTATGGTCTCAAAGTTGGATGACCTCATTACTAATATTTGTTGTAAAAGTGAAACTTGTTTGCCAACCAATAAACAACTGATTGAGATTTAGAAGATATTGTATTGATGTATGTACTATATGATTAATTATTCTTTTCATTTTTCTCACCTTTCTTTCGTTCTGTTTTCAGTATATAAATTGTGCTAATCCTCTGTGGCCCAAATGAGCCATGCTAAAGAAATCAGTCTGCCTAGATGAATAAACTAAGCACAAAATTAGTCACAAAATTAGTTTTTGCAGACAAAATATAAGAGAAAAATGAGATGGGCATTTTTATGTTGGCTGAAATAAGATGCATAACTTACTTTCAAGCAGGTTAATATATAGATTACTATGTGCTTATTTATAAGCCAGCTTCAGTTACATGGCTTATTATAAAAGTCAGCTTCAATCAGAGGTTTAAAGTATTGAATTCGGAAAAGAAGGATCATATTTTTTCCTCCCTTGTAGTCTTCATTTTGATGTTGAATATTTAAATTCATTCCATTGGCTAAAAATGCAAGAATAATGGCAAAGAGAATACCCATTTTATAAACAGAAGACATTTTTATGCTACTTTTTTTGTTGTTTTACTATGTATAGATAAAATGAGAGGGGAAAAGTCCTTTCAAAGAAACTTTCTAGATCTCCAGTTACTGAAGAAGAATCTTTACCAGCAGTGTGCAAGCATGGCGACCCTCCTAGGGCAAGTTAGAATGAATTTGCCAAATTATAATTTCTAATTATGTTAGATGATTTCTTGATTTTTTTTTTATTTTTCCAAAAAAATTTAAGCATCAGCCACCTATAAATTAATTTCTTGAATTAAGATTAGAAAGAATAGTTTAGAGAGTAGCCAGTAATCTATGTATACAGTTTTAATATACAACAAAAGAAAAAATTCTGTACTGGGCCAGAGTACATGATAACCTTAAATCAATATCACCTCAAAATATCTTATGCATCATTCCTTTTAGTCACTTGACATAAGTATTTTTTAAGTCTACACATTGTCTCTAAGTTACAGGAGAACCACAAGCTTTATGAGTAATTAGGTTTTCAATTACCACATATGGCAATATTAACTCCTAAAAGGTGGTTAGTCTATCTGGTAATAGAATACATTTGATAATGAAAGAATCCCTTTTAGACATGCTTAAGGTAACTTCAGAAACACAAATGTAGTCTGTGGATTTATGAGGACTTATGCTAGTTTTGCCAGTCCAACAGTAATCTATATGAAAACAGCTCCATCAATAAGAAGCTAGTTTCACAGAATAATGGGGAAACTACCTCAATTCAGCTTGCTGATGATGCCAATTCTGATTTTCTGCTATTGCTACCTCCCTGACCATTATTTTTTGTGTTTCGTTATATGGAAATTTGAAGCTGATAATCTCTCAGCTCTCCATAGTCTAAGTTGAAGATCACTTGAATACATAGACTGATGTGGAAAGCCATTCAGTCCTTGTTGGTAACAACCAAGTGCTTATGTAAAGATGAAAGGGTCATATTTTTGAACTCGCATACATCATAATTGCTGTGCTTTCAGAGAGACTTAAGATCCCAAAGACTTTCACGAGGAGAGATTATTACCCCAAATTGAATGTGACTATAGTGAAGACAAAATAGTGGATGAAAGAGTTAATTATATATACATTTCAATAGAAATTTGTGTATGTCTCTCTAGTCCTCTTTACACAAGCAAGGGTTGAATTCCTGAATTTGAATCTTCTTTCACATGCATTTTCATGTGTGGCAATTGATAATAACTTTAAAATTTTCTTAATCATATTTGGCTGACCCTATATTTTCAGTACTCTGTGACATTCATCACACTCTTATTTGCATATTTTGGCGTATTTATCCGATTTTCCATCAAAAAGTAAATTTTCACCAAACATACTATACTCCATTGCACATTATTTGGAGAGCTGGAAGTAAAACTTATGTCAGTGAAACAAGTTATTATGTCTAAGCAAGATAACATTTTTATAATATTTTATAATTTTGTTTCCTTTTTGAGGTCTGTTTCACATGATACTTTAATAGGACGTTAGCTTACAAACCTCATGTCTAGTTGATTTAGAAAATGTTGGATTGTTGCATAGCCCATGTTCTTAATTGATAATATTTATGGAGAAATATAAATTTTGTGAGGAGAAATAGGCAGGAATTCCAATTAAGTTTTTGAGCATCTTTTGTTTTCACTCTATTAAAATTAAAAATACTATAGTTAAATAATAAATTGTTATGCTAAAATAATCGTAATGGAAAAAAAAAACTGGCATGAAAAATTTTCTTGAGGTTAAAAATAGTCAATATAATGTAGTAATCAAATGCAGGTATACACCCCTTCACCTCCTGTAATACTAATTTATAATGACTGAAATTAAAATGTAGTTATGATTTGTATTTTTAAAGTAACATTAGTCTAAAAATGTTGACATTATGAGGCAAGGTTTTTAAGATTTCATATTTAAATTTTCTAATATTAACTTAGTTGGTGTAACAAAAATATCCATAATAATGGAAAAAAGCGTATATTATAAATGAATTATTTAAGAACCCATAAACTTAAGTCAGGCAATATCTTCAGCTTTTTCCCTCAAACCTGTTCAAATCCATTGACTAATTTGCCTGCTTTAAAAAATGACATTAAAAACTTCAAAGACTAACTTTTTGCTTAATTGTGGAGACCAAAAGGGAGAGGAAAATATTTTTTCTAGGTTGTCTAAAGATCAACTTCAAAATCATCACCTCCTATTAGTGAAAGAATAATTGATAATTGATTTTTTTAGAAGTTGTCCATCAGTACTATACCAAAGTGCAACTGCTTATGGCATTTTTCAAAAAATACTGTAGAACTAGTATGTAGTCAGTTCATATTTAGAGAGAGAAAAATTTAGAAAGAAAAAAAAAAGAACCCAAATCCTAATTTGATATTGAGTAACTCTGAAAATACTGACAAGAATGTCCTTTCTTCTTTAACAAATATATATTTTAGATAAAATAGCAATATGTATGATCTCCCCAATGTACTATAATAATAGTATCAAGATATTAAGAATTAATTAGCTCATGTTTAGCAATTCCTAATTATAGCTCACCACATAAGTAATTATTATGCATTTCTAAGTAATACTTTAAATATGTCTTATGTTAGATTTCTACACATAAATTAGTAACATGGAAGCACAAAAGTGAAGCAGCAACATTGCAAAATAACTTATGGAAGCATTTTTGTGCAAATGAATTCTACATGAGAATCATCTTTGAGCTTATAAAATAGATTAGATGGATCCCAACCATAAATTCAATTTTGTAATCAGTAGTAAAAAGGTCCCTGTATAATCATCTGAAGAATATTGACAAATATCTAAATTTTCATTTCTAGACTAAAATAAGTTCAAGTGTTGATAGCTTCTTCTTTCCTGCTTAGGCCATAAGAAGAACTTTCCTATTTGCTAATTAACTTGATTACTTCCTCTTTGCTTTAAA